TGTTGTGGCCGGGTGGGAAGGGGTAGCGCATGACTCAAAAATAATATCAGAAGCAGTAGCCGATCCGCAAGCATCATTCATGTTTCCACCACCAGGTAAGTTTTTGGTTTTTTAAGTATTTTTTATCTTAGTTTGAAAATTGATTAGTGTTTTGCATTTTACAGACAAATATTATCTTTGTGATGCCGCGTATGCACACACTCGAGGATTTATGGCCCCTTATCGTAATGTGAGGTATTAGCTTGGAGATTTTCGTCAAATACGTGCATTGACCAATAAATAAAAATTTAACCATGGACATGCAAAACTTCGGGAAGTCATTGAGCGTGCTTTTGGTGTTTTGAAAGCACGATTCCCTATATTGAAGAGGATGGCACCAGTCCCGTTTGTTACACAAAGAAACATCGTCATGGCATGTTTCGCGCTTCATTATTTTATAAGGAAAGAAAGACTGAGTGATGAGTATTCTGCACGATACGATGAACCCAATGTCTCGTTTCGAAATAACAATGTGGCCTTTGATGATGATGAAGACGAGATTCCAACACATGGTACTGTAGCAGACAGTGAATATATGAATCAGTTACGGGATGAGATTGCTAAGCAGTTGATGCACAATATAGATTGAATTGTTTTAAATGAAAATTTTATTGTAAAACCAAATTTTTTTTATTGCATGACTAATTTAGTTGCATGAATTTTATTTTCAGTGTTGTATGACTATTATTATTAAAATTTTGGTGTTGAAAAATCATTTTAAGTTTGTAAAATCATTTTATTTAAAATTCAGTTTATTGCAGCAGTCTGCAGACGTTAAAAACAAACAATCTTCTTATTGCAGACTGTAGACGTTTGTCCACCTCTTCTGTTGTAGAGGCTTGCAGATGTTGTCCGCAGATTGCAGACATTTTGGCTTCAGAAAAACAAACAACACCTAAATCTCACCAAATGCACTTAGGGTTTCGAATCTAGGGTTTAATGGGATGGAGGCTGATGATAAGAGGGTTTGGTGTTGAGTTAAGGAGCTTAAATAGGATCCAAGACCCTAAATTAAGGTTTGCATGAATCTGGAGTACGCCCTGCGTACTCTCAGTACGCCCAACATACTCCAACTGATGCATGTGATCCTTATCCCTAGTACGCCCAATGTACTCCCTATGTACGCCCCGCGTACTAGGCTTAGCCTTAAACCCACCAACTTCCGAAGACCATAACTTCCTCGTTCTATGTCCGTTTTCGACGATCCTTATATCCACAGAAAGGTAACGAGAAGCTCTACGCTTCCATCAATTCATCCTTGTCTTAGAACTTCCCGAACTAAAATCCAATTTCCATGAAAGCCCGAACTGCCACTTTACGGTTATACCCTTGGGCTTCAAGTCATGAACCAGACTCCCGTACCATCTAACTTACATTACCCACACCCAAATAAGTCTAAATCTCTCTTTTCCAAAGGCCTTAAGCCTTGTGATAACCGATCTTCGGGTCACATCAGAACTTTTTCTTCGGTACCGAAGTAATAGGGCAATGTTGTAGCTTCATCCCCTACCACTCCATGATCATTCCATCCCTCTAAAGTTATATACTTGTACTTGTTTTCATAAATTTATTTATAGATAAAAATAATAAATATATAAAATAAATATAAAAAGTAGAAGATATATAACATGTAGGGCTGTAAACGAACCAAACGAACACGAACGCGGCTTGTTCATGTTCGTTCGTTTAAGTTAGTCGAACAAATGAACGAACAAGAACGGATAAACGAACGAGATATTGTTCATGTTCGTTCGTTTAACAAATTACATTGTTCATGTCTGCTCGTTTATGTTCGTGAACATGCTAAACGAACATAAACGAACAAATATAAACAAACATAATTGAACATATATAAACATAAATGAACATCTAATATAATAATATAATCAAACACAATTAAACATATATGAACATAAAATGAACTTATATGAACGAACATAAACGAACGTAAGCAAACAACATAAACGAACGTTCGCGAACATAACTGAACGAACTTGTTCATGTTCGTTCGTTTAAATAAACGAACGAGAATTTGTGTTCATGTTCGTTCATTTATTAAATAAACGAGCATAAACGAACTTCCTGCCGAACGGTTCACGAACAGTTCGCTGAACGTTCAGTTCGTTTACAGCCCTAATAACATGTAAAATTTGAAAATGTAAAGAATCCAATTTATAACAGACAAAATTGCAAAAATGGTCCCTGTGGTATTCATTTTTTTGGGGTTTTACTCCAAACCATGACTTTTTTGGATTGATGGTCCTTTTGAGGTAGTTTGCTTGTGATTTTGGTCATTCGGTAAACTGAAAAGACTAAAATACTCTTCTGATATATTTTTTTATGTTTTTTTCTATTTAATTTAAAGTTTTATAAATAAAAAATATGGGGCCTCTCTCTTTCCCTCTCTCTCTCTCTCTCTCTCACAAACCAAAAAAAACCCACCTGAGTATCATCTTCTTCCCACAGGTTCGTCATCTTTTCACCATCGACACACCACCTGCAACCTCATATTTCTTACAGTTCATCGACAACCAACACCCCTTTCACATCATCATTCTCATCGTCTACCACCACACTCTTAAACTAGATCTGCAAATCAGAGATAAAACTCACACAAGTTCATATTTCTTCAACTGGGTTTACAACATTTTCGTCTCCTTTGAGTGTGTGTTTTTTCAGTTTCATGTGTGTATTTAACTTAGATCTCAAAACTTCGATTGTGTATGGAGATCTGCTTCGATTTATGTTGTTCCTCGCCCCTTTTCTTCTTAAGAACCCTAATTTCTCTGATGGTGGTGGTCTAGTGGTGTTGAGAAAATGGGTTTAGAGCTACGACAGCTTGGTGGTAATAAAAACTCTAATATGTTCTTGAGTGAAGATGGAACCCTAATCGTGTGTATTACCGATGATGAACAACATGTACAGAAGCCCTTACGCAGGTCTGGATTTGTAACCGAGAATAGGAACAGAGGTGAGTTTGGGTTTGAAATTCAATGCATTGTGTTTGAGTTTTGTGGATTCCGATATGGTATTCTTCCTTCACCAGGAAAGTAGAAGCAATAACCCAACCCCCATCATCGATGAGCACACAAAAATCAAGAACCTACAACATGTTTTGATCGATTCTTCTTCCTAGCACCATTAAAAGATTAATCCTCGATGGAATCGCATCTCACTGATGGATAATTGATTTGTTCCACATGGCTACATCACCGACTCTATGCACTGCCATACCCACCACTGATTTGCATCTAATTCTTCATCATCGTTATCTGGTCTCCGATGCCCCTGGGCAAATGGTGGAGATCAAAGGTCAGATTAGGAAGAAGAAGAAATGGTGTAGAGGAGCGAAACTTAGTTGTTACCGATGGAGGCTCCGTCAAAGGTGGATGATTGGTCTCTACAGAGATGGTGATTCCGATCTGGTAAGGGGATGAACTTAGAGACAAATTGGAACACTGATCGAGAGAGAGAGAGAGAGAGAGAGAGAGTCATTTTTTGTATTTATTTATTAATTATAAAATAGTTAAAAAAAGAAAGAAGAATGAAAAATAAATATATTAAGGGTATTTTAGTATTTTCAATTTGGAGAGGGACCTTTTCCACATACAAACTAGCTCAAAATGACCACCAATCCAAAAAAAGTCACGGTTTGAACTAAAACCCCAAAAATACGCATACCACAAGGACCATATTTGCAGTTTTGTCTTTATAACATGTACATAACTATATACCGATTTTCCAAACTAACTTATATTAACAAACCAATCTCAAACCCTCTTTTTTTTCAAATTAACCTATATTAAAACCCTATTATATATTACAAAAAAAAATAAAAAAATAAAAATAAAAATACACCTCATCACAACACCCACCTCGACCGACGTTTTCTTCTCTTTTTTTTTTAATTATTTTTTTTATTTTTTTGTTTCTATCTCGAATAAAACCAAAGATGGAGATCGAAAAATATTGAACACTGGATTTTATTATGCAAAATCCTCATAAAACCAACACCCATCAACTCATTGAAGACAATCACCTTTCACCAAATTCCTCCTTAATCTTCCCCATAAATGTCTCTGTATATGCTTCTCTCTACATCTCCAGCCGCTTCTCCCTCCGTCGGAAAATCTCTAGCTATCTCTTGCCCTACACCGCTGCCATGCAGTGGCGGAGGCAGGATTTAAGAATAAGGGGGGCTGACAGCCTCATAAGGTTGTGGGTGTATATTATGAACATCTTATTTAGTATTATCACTAACCGAATGCAATTATGGGTCATGCACATCGTCTATTCGTTTGAAAAAAGAAATTTCTTGCTAATAATTTACCCTATAAATTTATAATTATAATCAACCAAATTATCAAATCATAATTAAATTATTAATTACAAGTAACAGTAAATAAAGTATGCAATACAAATAAAAATTTACCTTTTTTAATTAGAGAACTGAAATCGTTGATGTAACAGTGTTGCCGGCAATTTGTTAATTGAAAATTAATCTCTTCGACGAATAAAAGTAACCACCCATTGTCTTGAACTCTGATGAATCATCGAATAATAAACACTATTTATAAACAAATGGGGTATTCTTGCTACTTTCGAATAATAAAGACTATTTATAAACAAATGTGGTATTCTTGCTACTTACAAATTGACATAGATGGATATTTACAAATTGACATAGATGGATATTTATTAATAACAAGGGGTGGTTATAAAGTCGGCCGTGGCCTCTTAATTCTCATACCCTTATGAGTCATTGTTTTATAAATATATATTAATTGTCTTTTTAAAGTAATTAGGAGGGGCTCAAGCATTCATCAATACATCGATGTGGGAGTAGGAGTTAATTTATCATTGGCTCATCTTATATCTTATAATACTATAGTTGCAACTTGAAAAGAGGTTGGAGGGGGCAAAGCACCTGGCAGCCCCCCACTGCCTCCGCCACTGCTGCCATGCATCACCGCAAAAATAACTACCTCTCTGTTTCCGTCCTCCTCCTCTCTCTCTTCCTCATCGGAATCATCTTCCACAACGAAGACGTCAGATCTTTAACACGGTTCACGTTTCAGAAAATCCAATCCCATGAAAAGCCACTTTCAGAGTCGAACAATAATGAGCAAAAGAGCTCGAAGTTGTCATCGACGGCGGATGCTGCAGCGGAAGACGATGAAGACATGGAACATCCACCGGAAAGCTGCAATATTTTCGATGGGAAATGGGTTTTTGACGATTTGACACGCCCTTTGTATAAAGAAGACGAGTGTGAATTTCTCACAGAACAGGTTACGTGCATGAAAAATGGGCGACAAGATTCTATGTATCAGAAGTGGAGGTGGTAGCCTAAAGACTGTAATTTGCCAAAGTAAGCACGCTCGGTTCTTCCATTTTTTTTAACTGGAATTACTTGTTGAAATTAAATTCTTGATGAGATTATTTATTTGTTTGGGAGATGAAATAGGTTTAGAGGGAAATTGTTGGTGGAGAAACTGAAGAACAAGAGGCTTATGTTCGTTGGAGATTCTTTAAATAGAAATCAATGGGAATCAATGGTGTGCATGGTTCAATCGGTTGCTAGTTCAGGAAGAAAAAGCTTGATCCGAACTGGGTCTCTCTCCATTTTCAGAATCGAGGTTTCTTTTTTCTCTCTTTCTCTCTCTCACACACAGACAAACGGGTCAACTTTCATGAGATCGACAATCTGAATAATTTGCAGCGTTTCTTATTATAATTGATATTTGCCATCGATTTTCAAGAACAAGAATTGTATAATACCATTGTGGCACGTTTTACTATCTTGAACTGCTATCTTACGCTTCATTTTGTTGATTTTTTTAATCCAACTTTAATAAAATGGCCCCTATATTCTTCTTTTTTATTCATAAACCATAAAATTGCAACAGAATTTTACAAAATAGCTCCTTTATTGTTCTTTTTTATTCATAAAAAGTTACAAAAATTATCTTTAGATACTTTTTATCAATGTTCTAAATAACGTAAGGCGTGGCTTGGCGGCAAGGTCAAAGTTAAGCCATGACAAGCCTTGGCGAGCCATGACGTTTTTCAAAGCGTGACTATTTTATATATATTAAAAAAGATAAATCATATAATTATTGAATTTCATCAAGTATATCAAGTTTTTAGAAGTGTTATATTAGTATTTAATATAAAAAGTTAACAAAAACTCAATTATTTTAGGTCCGATAAATAAAACAAAAAAAACAAAAAAACTCAAGCCTTGAAAAAAACTCGTGCCATAACGCGATAAGACGCGCCTTGATACGTTATTTGGACGTCACGCTTAACAAACTCGTCTTGAACATTTTCGTAACAGCTACACCACGTCTCGTGAGGCGTGCCATGGCGCGTTTTTTAGAACCATGCTTTTTATAGACAAATTGACCTATACTTATTTCCTTTAAATTTTTTATGTTTTAATTAAAGCCCATATTATCATACAGTATTTTCCTATTCATATATGCGATTTTCTATCTTGGGTTATGGTGTATAATAACTATTGTTTGTAGATTTTACAAACCATGCAAGTTACAAAATATATCCCTAAATTAATCTTCCCTTTTTTTAAAAACCATCTTACATTTATTTCGTTTATATTTTTGGTGTTTTGTAATCCATTATCATACACCATTTTTCTATTTATGTATACGATTTTTTATCTTGCATCGTCTTTCGTGTATAATAACAATTGTTTGTAGAAAGAAGAAGTTTGCTAGCCTACCGATAAGATTATAACACTCATGCTTCTTTAAGTTAGGATGGGGTTTTGAAACCTAATGGCTCCAAATATTTTTTTCTATATATTTTTTAATTGTAGGTCACATTATCTGCCAAGCTTGCTCCACATCCATCAAGAGCAAACTTTTGTTTTTTTTCTTTTTATGCTCAGAGTATGTTCACTAAACTGTTATATTATCGTCACTACATCCTTACTGACACACCACTAGCCTTTGGAAAGGTTAACACTCCACATCATTTATATTTTTTAAAATTTTTTTTAGCATTAGATTAAATAAAAAAACATTATTTAAACTTAAATAATCATTTTACTAATAAAAAAAATTACATTAAAATTAAATAAATATTTTACTAATTTTTAAAATTAAATGAACTTATATATAGGTGAGGGTTTAATTTAATTCAAAGGTAAGTGGGAGGGTATTATAATGAGAACAAAAGACAATCTCAAGGACCAGTTGTAACTTTAATTAAAAACAAAAATGAATCCTCCTTTTAAAGTATTAGCTGGTTTTCCTTCTTGGTTTTCTTCTGTTTTATGAAAAAACGTGTTTGTGACCATTTCCGACGAGCTTCGTTCGAGAACATAGAAGGATTTGGGACCGTTTTCATGCACCCGATCACAGCTTTTGTATTCATCCGTGAATAGCCCCACTCCACAACACGTGTAGAAATGTCCTCCACGTCAGATTTCATGCATAGGAATGTACCCCATACGTTTAGCTTTAGGCTGGTGGGTGTGGGCAACATGTTAAGACATGTTATCATACCCAAAATTTCCCAACTCATATGCCATGTCATCTTTAACACCATTTGATTTATGTAGGAAATGGTGTGCAAATGTTATAACATGTTAAGAGATACAAAGAGAGTTAGAGAGAGAGTGAGATAATGGCTTTTGATTGGTTGATTCTCACGTTACTTCCCATGACCATGGTAACATTTTTTAACATAACATCAAATAACATGAGAGGGGGGCGGTGTTCCGGTGTTATGGCGCCGTTATGGGAGGTGCCAAATCAGCATAACGCCTTATGGCGTTGCCCATACCGAGTAGACTTATAGTTTTCACCAAAATATAATTTCGTTTTTCTTTTTATATTATTTTATCTAGACACTCATATTTTTTTTTACAGCTTTAACCCAATTTAAAAAACTTCTACAATTTTTTTCGAAGATATAACAAAAAATAGCACTAGTTTTTTTGGGTTATCCTTTTTACAACTTATTGTCATTGCGGCCCAAATATGCCACATATCTCAAACCCGATCAAAATATTGGTTTTATTTACATTTTTCAAATGTGATTTGTTTTGTTCAAACACTCACCATCTTTTTTTCTATTTTAATCCAAAAATTTCAAACTGTTCCATGGTTTTGGTCCAAGCTTTAAGCAAAAAAAAAAAAAAAAGATTACAACTTAGTTTTTTTAGATCTTATTGTTTACGGTACTTCACATTTATATCCACACCAAAACACGCCAATCATGTTGCGTGAAGATCAGAAAACTCAACCTCCAATCGCCACCTCCGGAAAATCAGAAAACTCAACCTCCGCCCACCACCAACCACCCGCTACCATTTTTGGTCAACCCAACTAGTGTTCAACGTGTCCCTTCCTTCACCGTCAACCACTAGTTAAAACCAAAGCCGTAATAAACCACCACAAGGAATGAGGCCTATGCCGGCGACATTTTCAGCAACTATGCAGACGACATGTGGTCAGGAAAGGCTATAGAGACGACATGTCGTCTGTAAAAAGTCGTTGGCATAGTCTTGTCGGTAAAAGTTGAAAATGTCTTCGGGATAGATGTCGTCGATACAGAGCAACCAATGCCAACGACATGTCGTCTTCAAAGGTCGTCGGAGTGATTTTCGAGGAAATTTTTTTTATTATAAACCTATTCAAACGACTTATCGTCGGTATAAAGATCAACTTTACCGACAACATGTGGTCTTGACAGGTGCAAGTAATGTCGACGACTTGTAGTCGGGAAAAATGGACGGGAGACAACCTCCGTTCTAGTAATAGAGACGATTGTTGGTACATGTGAAACCGTTTTGACAGTTATAAAGTTATACCGACGACATGTCGTCTCCTCATCGGTATTTTTTTTTTAATATTTTTCACAGATTTTTGTTATATATATCAAATCTGTTTTTTTAAAACAAATCCAAATAGTATATATGCAGAATAATATCAAACACTTAATAACCATAACAAACCATTAAAACTCAAATTCAAATTCTACTACGTATCAAAAAAAAAATCTTCAACAAACATTGTTCAAAAATAACATAAAAGTCAATCATAATCTTCATTGTTCTCGTTCTCGTTCTCCTCCTCCTCCTCGTCGAGCTCGTTGGTTGGTCCGGGGGTATTTTGTGAAAACATATTGGGATTAAATTGGAATTGTGGCATTGGTTGTGGTTGGAAGTTACGACGGACGCGAATGTGTTATTATATGTCGTCGGGACAGTTGGACTTTTACCGACGACATATGTCGTCGGGATAGGTGTTGTCAGTACATATTGTTATTCTTGTAGTGTAACATATTCAAAACAAAACCCAACATACATTTCAGAAACCTAAAAATTTAGATTCGAAAACAAAAACCAATAATCAAAAGAATCGTAGATTCTAATTGATGGGGCGGAGGAATCCACGAGGTAGGGATGGTTGTGGCATTGTAGTGCTGAGAGGAGGTGAGGTGGCGATGGTGGTGTTGCAGTGTATAGCATGTTAGTACAACGAGGCAGTGTGGTCATGGAAAAGGAAGACGAAGGATGTAGAGATGTGGCCGGTGATGGAGGAAGAGTTGGTGGTCGGCAACGAGGCAGCACGACTAGGAGGCGAAGAGCGGAGATGCTGCTAGCAAGAAGCGGAGGAGGGCATGCTTGGTTTATGTATTTCGGTGGAATCCATAAGAATTGTATTCTAGTTTTCACCATCTGATGCGTTTCGTTGTCAATTAGATATATTTGGATTCCGTCAAAATCTATATTTAATGGAATTTATTATTCCTAGGGTAAAAGGACATTTATTTACTAGTTTATAACCCGTGAGAAATACGGTTATAAAATTAATAAAACTATTGTATTAAAAAATAAAATTATTAATCAATTATTTTAAATAAATTATTACTTAAAAGATAATTTTTGGATAAAATTTTATCAATTTTCATTTATAAATTGTATAGAACACCCTTAAAATTTTATCAACTTAAAAGTAATAAATTGACATTTTCATTTATAAATTGTATAGAACCCGTTAAAATTTTATACAATTTTATTTTAAGAAAATAGAAATCTCCAAAAAACGACAAGTGGAAAATAAAAATTTTAAAACTCCCACAAAATGACATGTGTCAAAATAAAGGAGAAGAGAACATGTGGCAAAAAGGTTTTTATTTATTTGATTAGATTATCCATAAATAATTTCCTGCATTTTGCTCAAATCCATATGATTAGAAGCTCTTTATACCAAAAACTTAAATACTTCAATTTTTTCGAAAATTAAACTATTCTGACCCAAACAAATACATTAGATATAACTAAAACACGTAATACGATCACATAATCCTAATCAAAACTATAATGAGCTAAAATCGAAAAATCATACCTTATTTGCTATGAACTCCGAGAATTTACAAATAACTTCTAACCCCAATTTCTCCATTAACATTTTCATGCAAAGTAGGGTGTTGTAATTTGAGAAGGATCGGTGAACCATTAAAGCTGACCTATTTTAAGTTGCCAAAAAAAAAATTAATCCTCTTTTCATATCATTGAATCCAAAATTCCACAATCAAAATAAAAGGATGAGGGTGGTTATGTTATCACTGCAATCAAACACACTAATGAAGACAAAACTAATATGTAATTCTTATAAGAATAGAATAATACACTCGTTTTTCATTCCAATCAAAAGTCCATTCTCTCTCCTGATATACACAACAATCTATTATCCTGTTAATACAACAATACAAACAAAGAATAAGAAAAATGTCTTTTAAAGGATATATATTAATGAAAAAAATGTCTCTTAGAAGATAAACCTGATGAAAAAATGTCTCTTGGAAGATAATTTTTAAAAACAAACAAAAATTCAAAGACCATCTCGTTTTTCAATCCAATCAAAAGTACATTACTTTACTTTGCAATTTGCCGTTAGTTTTTTCTTTCCATTTCCCCCGGTAGGACATTATTTTTTTTCAAATATTTTTTAAACATTTTTTGTCCATAAATCATTTCATTCAAATAGTACATAAAAACTAATAAGCTTGCCTCGTAGCTTTTTCAGAATTAGGATATCAAAGCATGAGTCTTTCTGCATAATTATGACCATGTGGTAAACTTGCGTTCATCGTGGCAATGAGATTATAAGAAAATTATTTGGGTTATCCAAGAATTAACCATCTTCAAAATTTAACCAAAATAGTATAACCATTCAAAATAAACCATACATTTTAAGGTTCATATACAAAGTCAAGTAGTTTGATGAGATACACAAATAAGAACACCATTGTATTTTCTTAATTCGGTAATTCATCTTTTATGAAAACTGGATAAAAAAAAAAGATGAACTCATTTTTCTTTAGAAGGTTGACAAATAATTGATGATTAAGTACCTTTCTTCATTCTCATGGTTTGAGTGATGTTTTCTTTTGAATTGTGTGATAGGGCATCAAGCTTGAATTGAATCATAATTAAATGAATCTGTAATAACCAACCAAAAAAAAAATAAAAAACAAACGTCAATGACAATAATTTGCTAACCCATTAAACTCTGCATCTTTTCTATGATTTAAGATTACGACTAACTAATGTGTAAGTTCTTGAAGTAATAATTATAAAAACCTAAAGTTTGTAAACGAAAACCATATATATCATAACACTTGGCAAGTTGTGAAATATAGACAAACCAAATAAATGGAGGTAGCACGATTCTCATCATACCATATACACCTTTTCTTCATTTTACAGTAATGATGGTACTCAATTAAAAAACTAATTTTACAAAATAATATGGTATTAATGGTTTTAATTATGTTTTAAATACATCATATACTGTGAAGTAAATAAGTGATAACTTGATTCAAACTTGTAGGCAACCTGCCGATTAAAAAAATAATAAAAATGGCTCATCTCAACAGACAACCTCCAGAAATTCAAGAAAAATAAAAGAAGCAAATTAGTATTAATGTGATGCAAAATGTTATTCACTTCTCAACACATTATCATCTTCAATCATTAACACAAGAACTTCCCCGATGATGTAGCTAAATGTTATTCCCTTCCATATCCAATCCTATTGTCTAATACCATCATACATTTCATCAAACACGTTATATGCATTCATATAAAACTTACTATCTTCTCAAAAAACCACTAACCCATTTTCAACATATAAGCAAAACAATCAACAGGATCTGGGAGGAGATTGCTTTTACACAAATTCACAAGTTAAAACAAATTTGGTTGTAAAATACCAAAAATGATGGTTTCAGTTTGGATCATAACTGTAAGGAAAGCTAGAAAGAAGAATGGATGGGGATGCGTAGAAACAATAAAAAGAATTGATTGTATCAGATTACGTTATAAGTCTGTCTAACTACTTGTGGAAAACATACCTTCAAGAGAAGCATGAGGTTTCTATCAAAAGTACCAAACCAAGAAGGAGAAAAAGAGAAGGCAGAGAGGAATTGAAGCAAAGAAGTACCAACTCAAGATTGTTGAATCAACGGGAGGGTCGATGATGATTTCCACCTAATGTCACTGAATGATGATGAAGAAGAAGAAGAAGAAGAGTGCATAACAAACTTTACATGTGAGAATCACAACATCTTGAAGAATCATCGGTGCTTCTCGTCTTCAATTAGTGTTTTGACAGATAAATGGAGCGAGAAGGGATTTTGAGAGATAGTAGGAGGAGGAGGAGTGTGCTATAATATCAAGAAGAGAATGATTTGAAATTGAGAAATATCGAGAGAAATCAGGCAATTGCAGAGAATGCGGGTGGACGAATCAAGTATCCATTTTAATGGGATTTTAAATGAGTTTGAATTTTTTTGGAAGATCACGTTCGTGATTTTACTGCATTGTGAGTTGAAATGACCAAAAGGCAATTTCGGAATATCACTTAGACATTTTGAGCGGGAAAAATAACTTGGGAGAGGCTGAGAAATTGACACGTGGCAATTTATTACTTATTTATTAGATTAGGGGATTCATTAATAACTCGATATGATTAAACTGCCACATCTACATATTAGTTATGTCTACAATAGACAACAGTTATTCTTGCGACTATATATGCCGTCGATTATCATATTCACGCATAATATTCATATGGATTATATAACTGATGAATTACTAAAATAATGTTGTAAAATGATTCCATTGGACATGGAACTTGTTTATTTCATCCATCAAATACGCTTCATTAAACAATCTAATTAAACAATCTAATAAAAACATGCATTGGTTTTTATTAAAAAAAATAGTGTAAAGTTTATGTGACAAAAATAACATGTCACTGTACAAGTCCATTTTGTGGATGTGTTATTTTTTTGGTTTATTTTGGACAACATACTTCTATTTTTTTAATATTAAAACCTAAAACATTTCATTGTATTGTATCAATTGGACAAAATAGATCTTCTGCAATGGCTGAAAGTTAAAAAGTAGTTGGTATTCTATGTAACATATACACCTTATAAAGTGGAAATCAACTTAAAGTGTGTTGCTATTAAATGTATGATTTCACAATGATTGTGGCATTGATTAAGAAGTCATGTAAGTCACAGCAATTTACATATTTAATTATTAGCTTCTAATAAAAGCTGTTGAGATGCATAATTGTAAAAGAAATGTGCCAAATCAAATATAAAATAACCAAAAACCCAACTTATGTTTTACTATATGTTATTGATCAATGGTTTTCATAAACATTACAAGTTCGAAAAGAAAACACTTGACTTTGTGTTTTTTCAGGATTATAATGCCACAGTGGAATTTTATTGGGCCCCATATTTGGTACAATCAAACTCCGATGACCCAGAGTTGCATAATATTTCAGACAAGATTATCATGCCAAAATCAATCAATATTCATGGTCAGAATTGGAAAAATGTTGACTATTTGGTCTTCAACACATACATTTGGTGGATGAACACAGAAAACATGAAAGTCTCGTAAGCATCATTTAACATATATATACATATAAATGGAAGTATATTACTATTTATTTACGAATGAAATAGATTAAGACTGGAGAATATATATATATATATATATATATATATATATATATATATATATATATATATATATATATATATATATATATATATTATTCGTAGGCGAGGATCATTTGATGAAGGAGCAATAGAGTATGATGAAATCAAGAGGACCGTAGCATATGCACGCGTGTTGAAGACATGGGGCGAATGGGTTGATAAAAATATAAACCCTAATCGTACCATGGTCTTTTTCAATAGCATGTCTCCCGTCCATATTAAGTAAGTTTCCATTTTAATAATCTAATATATTCCATATAACATGTTATGTTAAAAGAACAAACTCTTATTTTTATAGAAAAATTAATTAAGTTATTATATAATATTCACATTGCACGAAAACTAGAAAAATACATATATGTACCTTTCCTATGTTATATAAAGTTGCCAAAAGTTAGTCATGCCTATTTGACCAACTAATTAGCATGTTACTCAACTTGGTCCATGTGTTGAAAAATTGTCTTTAATTATTTGGAAGGTCACATGTAATTAATAGTAAATAAATAGTAATATACTTCCATTTATATGTATTATAGTATTATACATTAACTTTATTTATGAGACAAACTTAATGTATTTTGAAAAATACATATGCTATATATATATATATATATATAATATATATATATATATATATATATATATATATAGTGAATGTATGTATGTTGTGCAGGTTAAAATTATTTAGTTATAATTTTGACAAATATATGCTGTTGAAAAAGATGTCATTGACTTTAAGTATACAATATTAATTTATGCACTAAGTTGATATATAAAACTCAGTTTCTTTGAATAATATTGTAAGATAAACATATATAGTCATATTTTTCAATTCCCTCTACTTATGGCTTATATGTAAAAAATATTAATATAATTATCGATTTAGTGTTAGTTTTGACTATTGTTATTATTAATTAATTTAAAGTTTATTTAATTTATTGAGTATTACTTTCAATTATTGTTATGGTTAAGTAATTTAAAAATATCTTCTTTAGCAAACATTTTGCTACTCATCCACCTTAAGCATCTATTTAAGATAAGGGTATTTTGGGAAATCCGATAAATAAGGAGCATTTTATTTGTAGAGGGGTAATTCAAATATTTTACTTATTTAGTTTGTTATGCTAGAGTATTATAAGAAGATAATAGGAATGATGGTAAATATATCTTTTGTGAAATCTGGAATTCATTTCTTTGGAAGAGTAACCTATCCTTTTGTTCATAAATAATTTGAGTAATAGTGATGAAATTATAATCTCTTCTATATTTTTTTACTTGCAATTAGATTAAGTGAATTTATAGCATATTAATTCATAGAGACACACATTTTTATGAAAATAAATCAATATCTAAAATATAATAGAAAATAAATTTTAATAATTATACAAAGGCTAATTGTTTCAAACATTTGTTATTGCAAATGACTTCATAAGTATCACAGAGTGTAAAATATAGGAAATTAATTAGGTACATTGATATGTTTAATATAATTTAAAGAGTATTTATTTTAAAACATTTGAAATAAATCGCTCATGATTATTTTTATAGAAATTAAGTGCAACCACAAAAATCATTTTCATAACTTAGAGCATCTCTAATGTTAATTTTTTTATAACTTACTAATATTTCATCAACTAGTCAATACCATAAGAAGAGATAACTTATTATCTTAGTATTCACTAACCACTTAATATTTATTCAACCATTTATATTTAATATAGTACTATATGTAATTCCCCGTCTTATAACATTATCATTGTATCCCTTTTAATTATGTTTTATATACATTGTGTTTTACTAATAATCTAACTAGTATATTAAATACACAAAATAAAATTCAATATTTTATAGAAAAGTTATTTTAAAAACTTATTTTAAGTCGATTAAAATGCCACATCAAATATTTTTAAAAAAGAATAATCAAAAGTTGGTAGTTTATAAAACATATCAAATGTGTAAGATAAATGCATGTCTACTTATTAGAAGAAAACAAACTCTAAAAAATTATTCATATTAAAGAAGAATTTTAAATAAAATTAATTATTAATATGATATAATAATTATAATGCTCTTATATTTAATATTATAATAAGGTCATTTAAACCTTAGTTTTTCTCGACTTCCCATTGAGGACATGTCATATGTATTACTCAGGTAAATATTTACCATATTGTCAAGTTGTTTTTTATTAATTGTAAATTATTCATTATATATTATTTATGCCATCCATCAATACATAACAAACATTTTGATTATTTTGGTTTTTGTTTAGTTAATAGATCATAAAACGACAAAAAATAATATAGTTATTCATGTCATCCATCACCGAAGATTTTGATTATTTTTTGTTTTTGTTTTGTTAATAGATTGTAAAACAAATATAAATAAGATAACTTTAAAATAAAAAATTGAATGAAGAATCAATATTAAAATAAGAAAAAAAAAGGAAATTTAATATTAGAACAAGGTTGTAGAAATCGGGATTAATCGTAAATTAATTGTTTGACGTTCTCCAACCGACTAGGATTAGTGGTGCTTGACAAAAATTAGGGATTAATCGGGTTTGACGGGATTAATCGGTCTTGGAGAGATTAATCGGTCAACAAAAGTAAAAAAAAATGTCAAAAAGTCAAAAAAGTCAAAAATTTTCAAAAATCAACTTTTTTTTTACTCAAAAACTTTCAAATTTTTAAATATTATACCAAAATGTTCATATTTTCGTATTTTCAAATTTTCAAATTATAAATTTTCTTATTTTCTAATTTTGAAATACTTGTTTTCTTAAAATATATCAATCTTTGATTAATTTTAATATTTTATTAATAATATTCTATGGTCCTCGATTAATCCCCGCCAAAACCGATTAGTCATTTAACCCCAATCAACTGTCGAGCTACCGTCAAATGAATTTTACAACCTTGTATTAGAAACAATATGGAAAATGCAAAAGAAGTTTGAAATAAAGAAACAAATAAAATAAAAAACATAATAATAATAATAATAATAATAATATATAAAATTCTTATCAAAAAACAAAATAGCGTCAACCTTAAACCTCTAAAATAGAGTTTTGTGTCTTCTCTATTCCTCTATTCCTCAATCTTATTCTTGAAACCCTAGCCATCTACACTACATTCATTAAATATATATACATCTCTATATCAACCAATTAAGTATAATAAACTAACAAATTTTTAAGTTATAAGGATTAGTTAGTTTAAAGGTAAAGAATTTTAGTATTAAAGTAATTTTTAATGTAGATATAAAAAGTCATTTGATATGTACTACATAATGGATAGATGAAAAGTTGTAAGTTTCAAATGAATTTCGTTGAAGTATTTTAGCTCTATTATAATATACTAGGCGAATATCCGCGCGTTGCGTGAAATAAAATTATATAGTTAACCTTTTAGTAATCATATGTCACTGAAAATATTTTTGTCATTTATATTAACTAAAAATTAATTATTATTACATTTAGACATTTAGTTAATTTAACATTATAATTAATTTGAACAATAGATAATATAACACTTACTAAAATCAAATCATTTAATGATATCTACTCACGATTTACGTGTGTATAAAATTAGTTATATTTATTATCTATTTTAATTAACTAATGTAATGATTTATTAACTTTAAAGAAAAATTGATAACAATTTAATTTCATCATGATGATTATTTAAATTATCAATTATTGTTTGTGTTGTAACATAATGTAATTTACAGCTTTATGTTATTTTAACTATTACTATTATAAATTAATTTTAAAATAACTTAATTTAATTTTAGTTATTATAAAAAATGGTTTTGGATATCTTTTAGTTAATTTTACTTTTAGATTTATGCTCTTTTACGTTTATTGTATTTAATATTTTCCCTTTAACTCTTGTAAAAAATATACATTGAGTTTTTTTAAAACTTTATTTGATATTTTACTTTAGGTTTTAAATTTGACACTATATTTTTAAGTTTGTTTGATATATTAATTTAGATTATGCATTTAAGACTATATTGAAGTTATTGATAATTCAAGAAGTCTTTCATTTATGATAATATTTATAATTAATAACATATTTAAGTTAGAAAGTATATTATAGGGAAATATGAAAAGTTGGGAGTTTCAAATATAATTTATGTGGTGAAAGAAAAAATGTTTCATTTATAAGTATAGTATGATACTAGTTTAATGCTCGCGTGTTGTGCATGAGTAAAATTAATGTTAATACATATATATTTTAACAAATAAGTAATTATCACTATTAACTATGATAAATATTCTTATACTAAAATAAAAAGTTTATACAAATTAGATATTAAGTAGACTATATGATAAATTAGATATCTATTATTAGAAGACTAAAAATAGAAATTTAAAGTATTTATATTAAGGAAATAATTTATACCCGTGGGTTATACATCAATGATTTAAAAACTATTACTTTAATCATTTTAAATTTTGATAATGATTGATTTTTCAAACAATTATTTTAAATATAATGTAATTTTCAGTCTTATATATGTTTTAGTTGAAGTTATGTTTTGATGTAATGTTTTCTTCAAGTATTTGTATAGTTATTTAAATTAAAAACTGTCTTTTGAAAAAAAAAATATTTTACAATATATTTTAGTAGTTTATTTGAAATTTAACACCATATTTAAATTAAAAATATTAAATACAACAGGATGGAAATTAAAATTTTAGTATTATAATCAAACTAATAAAGACGTTCAATATCTTTATTAAAAAATTATACTTGATAAAGTATAATATTTACCATCAACCACATGAAAATAAGGTCATAATAATAAGAGATATGCAGATAATTTTTACTGAAGAATAATACAAATTATAAATAACTACTCCCTCCGTCCCAATATTATTGTCCACAGATA